GAGTCTTCTTCAAAAGCCATTAGCATCACTCGGATTGCAGGCGGACACACCACTCCCAAATCATCCAGGATTTTAGGTGCCAAGCCCTGGTCCGCCGCCACCTGCTCCAGTTGAAGCAACATTTGATGATCTGAAGACATTTGAGTCGCTGAAGCCTGCAACAGTCAAGGTGGTAAAAACACATTGGATCGCAATAATGGATTGAATAGCCAGAGCATCAATGACAAAGATGACCAGGACATCAACGAAACAGCGCATTAATGAAACAGGACATCAAAAACAAATGAGAAACAACGTACTGTAATGGTCCAGGCCTGTTGAAATGCAGGATCTTCCGATAGAATTCCAGAATAGCAGTCAGGTGGAGCTGATGCTTTGGATATTGACCAAAGTCTCTGTTTAAGCAGTAGCTGTGACAGCTCCAAGATCTTTGATGGTGTGTCCTCAAACTTTGATCGCTGAATGATTTTCCTCAGTTGCTGATCTCCATAAATTGGAACTCTTGCAAGCTCAATCAAGTGAGGCTCCCTTGTCCATTCCGTTTGTAGAGTTGCAAGCTTCTGGATTTGGTCTCCAGGTGTTTTGATGTCTTTGATTGTATCTGAATACCAATCCCATATAGGGCGAGTGCAGAGGCAAATCACTTGTGTCATAATGTGCAGCCTATCCGACATCAAATAGTAACATAGGCGAAGTCCACCACCCAGCTTTTCCTTCAATCTAGAGAAATTCCTTGCGCATCGAAGTTTGTTCAGTGGAGTCCTTGGCCATTTGCTCCAGCTGGCGTTTGTGATATGCCTCATCTGGATCCAAGTTCTGACTCCGAAAGTGATATGACAGGATCACTTTCATCGCTGTCCATTCAGGCAGTTTCTCCTCTGCAGAGGCATTCCACGAAAACCATCTGGATAATTTTGGTAGCGACTGCTTATTGCAAAACCCACTCATTGAAGGGAGCGCATTCCAAACATCAGATGGATGCTCCGCAGACTCAAGACCAAGTTCATCTTTGATCTGCTCCCAGGAGTCCATGAACTCAGGAACACTGGACCAAGTTTCCCTTGCCATCATGAGTTCTAAGAGCCGCTTTTTTTCCTCGAAAAAGCCAGAGGAACCAAAAGGTCTGTACGCAACGCTGAAGAGGTACTGACTATGAAATTGCATTTGCAGATACTCACCTGAAGAACCGTGCAACAGCGCCAGTTTCACATCACGGATAGATCGATGGATGACATCCCACCGAGCCAGTATGAGCTTCTTCATTTTGTGAATGGCATACCTGGGCGACGCTGAGCAAAGTCATGCCAACTCATGGACTCATGGTTTGCATGAACATTTATATTATATATATCTTACACCTCATGGTTCAGCACATCAGCAATATTCCAAACCTTCATAAAATTCTGCGTGGTCACGCGGCTCCCCCACAACACGTTGGACCCTGGTCCAACTGGAGTACAAGAAGTGGGATGTGGTTCCACCATGCACCATCATTTGGCAAGAGCTTAGTGACCTCTCCAGTCTGAGTGTTTTGATGTCCTGCTCGTATCCTGCCATTCTCCAAGCGCTTCACACGTGTGCTACCTTTCCGAACAGGATGAATGTGGACATTGGCCGGAGTAGTGAAGAAATCAATATTTGGGATCCGTGCATTGCTCAAGAAGTTCAATTGTTGAGACATGGCTTGGATCTGACGGTAGGACGCAAGCCTCTCCAGTTTGTTTTCCTCAACAGGGTTGTTTGATGTGTAATGGCGTGTCACCACAACGTCTTCCCTTAGTTAGTGCTGTAGCACTCCAAAATAAATAGCACCCAAACATAGACTTCTGACATCAAGTTAAACCAAAAAGTCATTGAAGTCAGACCTCACTTTAGTAAGGACCTGCCATGATATGACAATTGCAACAGCTAAGTGTCCTGAGCTAGTTTTTCCACCAACGATGTCATCTCCATCTCCATGGGGGCCACCTTGTTCCCAGGTAGTATTACCTGAATAGTCGCAAATGCAGCCGTGGAAGACTCATGACTGTAGCATATTGATACAAGCACCTCTTTGCCACCATGTGTTGAAGCATCAGCCACCAAATTGTAATGCATTGCACCAACTAGGGACAGCTGAACCCTTGAATCATACAGGTTCAGCGCCCTGCGAACCCATGAAGGCACTGCTGTTGGCCGACAACCAGCAACCTTGCTCAGTCTTCCACCAGACAGCAATTGGACTGCTGCTCTCATTGAAACGCCCGTGTCTCTGGCTTCACTGAACAATTCATATATTGCATCTGGAGTCATAGAAACCCTGCTGGATTTTCTTCTGACCAGTTGGCCAGCAGGCACAATAGCATCTTCTGCTTGCAAAGTTCTGCGTCTGGATGGAAGCACTCCAGAAGTGTCATGATTTGCCATGTACTGCCCCTTGACAAAGTCGTCTATGCCTTTTGCAACAAACTCAATCAGCCCTGCCTGAATCTTCCAAAGTATAGAGCCAGTTACACTGTTCCTCTTCCACGGATGACTCCCTGACAACTTCCGTTTCCGTTCCACTGCAAAAACAAAGCGAAGCAAATCCTGTAGCGCACACATGGAATTGGCATCACTGATGATTTCAGAAGACAGCTCTCCAGTCTCACACATCGAGTTCCACTCTTTCTGAAAGGCCGTAAAACTGGCACGGTGATGGGAAGAGAGCAAAATCTCAAGGTCTGAAACCATGCCTGCTGATGAGATGTACAAACTGATCATGTTTTCAACATCTATGCTGGTTGTCAAGCCAATCGTGGAAATGACCTGTTGACATATAGCTGGTAGCCATTCAAAAACCAACTGTCGCGAGCGAGCTGTTCTGGATTCCTTCAAGATGACATAGAAGTATGCCACAATTGCCTTTGTTGTTGCACAGTTCTCACGGATCGCATTCGCTGGATGGCTGCTTTGGTTGGTGTGACAGAAGAAATCACCACAAAGCTCCGTTTCTCCAACTTTCTCTTTGAGAAATTGGATCCATTTGTAAAGACTCCATTGTTCACCACCATGCTCTTTGAACTTGTCATATAGGAAGTCCAAACGCCACCACAGTTGACATTCACCTGTGTTTGTTGTCACAAGATGCCCTGATTTGGATAAGAGGTTTGGATCCTCATCCAATTTGAGCGGTTGACATTGGCTCTGCAATAACATTGATACATAAAATCTAATAGCGCATTCAAATGAAACCAAACTACAGTTGACTGAATGAACAAAGGAGCAAATGAATGAATGCAAAGTCTTCTAGCTTTGAAATGACTAGCACTTGACTCCATGTTTCAATTGTCCATTCTTCATTGTCCAACATAGCTGATGATTATCCTTGATGAGCAAAGGACACGATGGAAAGAACCGTTTGTTTTATGTATCAACGCGTTGTTGCGTGGGCAAAGACAAACTGATTTTGACTGCAATGTAACACATCACTGTAACAAACCACCATCAAAGAATATGTGACACAAAAAATGAAGATCATGATCCATTTAATGAATTCAGTCACCATGAAAGCACCTTCATGTAAGCACAGTGAATGGCTGAGGAGATGACCCAGTTGATCGCTAGCCACTGAACCTGGCAAAAGAAAAAACCAAAATAAGTCTGCACTGCTTTGATCACTAGGCCTAGAAGAACGTTTTCTGCAATCTTTGTTTGCTGATCAACAGTGGACACAGAGACTGCACATGTAATTTTCTGAGGCCACACCAAATGAAACGTCTCACTGTGAAACGCGCTGCAACATCAGGCAGACTTCCTCAATCACTTCTCGAATCTCAGTTAAGGCCATTGTGGGAACATCATCATCTTCACAATCCTGGACAATTGTGTCCAGCAACTTCATGGACATGCTCAGCTGATCACAAAGACACTTCGCCCCAGGACTGTCAGCAAGAGTAATCAGTGGTTTTGAAACCAAAGGCATACGAAGCGGAAGTTGCCCGAGCTCATGAAGCATGATGGATGGGAAGACTGGCCAGCAAAACGGACGTCTTCCTTTTGTTTCAGGCAATTGACAAAGCGCCTTCAACAGCATCAGATCGGACCAAAGTGCCGCCAAAGGTTTCAGCACCACACGCTCTCCAGTATAGCAAAGGATTTTCTCAATACTCTCCTTCAAACTCTCACATCTTGCCATTTCTTCTTCAATCTGATCGAAGCCAAACATCACCCGCCGCTTGTCCAGCCAAAAGCAAAATACTTGTAAAGCATCTGAGGGACCCGATGGATGCGCCATGACAAAATTTGCTCTATACGCAAGTCAACAACTTGATGTAAATAGTGGCTACAAGATGAAGGGAGTCCTTTGAATGGATGACTGAATTTTTCGAGTCCACATTTGCTGAGAAGAATGTACTGCATCAATCAAACACGACAATAAAGAGAGTGAAGAACCTGGCCTCAATAAAGAGAGGGAAGCCTTGGTAGATGGTATACTGGCTCAACCTCAGCGCCAGCAAACGTCTTAGTATTGTGAATGGCACAGAGCGTGTCATCCCTACAGTGGCGGAGATGTGTCATATGTTATCACACAAATGCATCAATGCATGGGTTTAAATGTGTGTTCCCTGATCTTGCATAGGCTCCATGAGCATCAAACTCTTTTGTCACTGCACTCCAGAATTGTGTCAATGAATTGGGTTCAATTAAATTGAATTGGAGAGGCTATGCGGCTATGCAAAATTCACACTTGCCTTTGATGGAGAAGTACTCAGGGCCTCCGTGCCTCCAGCAGAGCAGAAATCACACTGCGGCCAAACTCCAAGGTGTATTCCTGTGACTCCTTCAGTAGCTCCTTCCGTCCAGTGAAACCACCTGAAGTCTGATCTTTTTCAGCAAGCGCTGATGCTTCTATACATGCCACTGATGGTCGATCCCTTTTCATTCTTGTCATGTATGGGCAGCTGCTCCATAGTTGTAATGGCTTTAATGTTGGAGCTCCGAAGTTGAAGTGAAAGGTTTCCGTTTTCCTTCCCCCAATGTACTCCAACACTGCACGGATTGCAGGCGTGCAGGGCATCACGCTACTCGATGGCTGTTCCATGCCGTCCTTCAGAGATAGCAAAAAGCCCAGGAGGAGTACAAGACCACTCAAGTCAGCTAAAACGTTGCCTTCCTGCACACAATACCGCTGGATGTCACCAAGATATTGGTTTTCAAAAGTCCGCTTGCAGACCGATGATGAAAGGATGACAAAGGTAGAGCATGGTGTAGCCACCCACAACAATGCCCCCGCCACAGTGGCTGTCAGACAAGACAAAAGCAGCTTGAGTCCATACGCCTGTAGAATGTCGTGGTCCTGGTTCATCTCTATGTCCAACGATGCCCCCTGCAGACCTGCTTCTATGGCAGCCCTTGAAAGGTTACCCTTTCCTGCAAATACTTCCAAGTATTGTAACCAGCACCGTCCATTTCTTCTGTGATGGTGGGTCCTGATGAGAAGCGCAACAAGCATTGCCTCCAGCGACCACCCCAGCATCCATGGATAGGCCTTCTCAATGTAGCGTGGCCACGTTTGTTGACACCTACCTCCACAACGGTCATCAACACTGAAGAAATCCTTCAGTTGTTCTGTCCACTCTTGCACTTGCTCTGGTTCCTCACTTGTGATCACACCATTGGGATCAAGAGGAAACTCCTCTACTGCAGCCATTGATTGCTGATCAATCAACCTGCTCGTTTCCAGCAACTTTTGATCCACTATTGCTTCTCTTTGCTGGATTGCTTTGATCTGCTCCTGAAGCCGTGCCACTCCATTCACATTTGCTCTGCTAGTCATGGCCCCGCCCAACCACTGTCTTGTTTGTATCTTTCCAGTCATTCATTGTTCATTTCATGTTTACTTGTTTCTGTTTTTCTGTTTGTTTCTCTCTCCATTTGTCTCATTCATGCATGTTTGAGACATTTTGAGACAGTACTGTGTGTTTGAGACAGTTTGAGACAGTTTGAGGCATTTCGAGACATTTTGAGACAGTTTTGAGCAGTTTTGAGCAAATTTGAGAAAAAACTCTCCGGGCAGCAGCAAATGTTCTCTACTACTGTTCTCTACCAGCAATTGCATTGTCAGGCCTATCTTACAGGAGTATCCGGTGAACACTGACTCCAGTGAACATGCACGCAACTCACAATGAATGCAAAGCAAAGCATTGAATGCAAATGAATGCAAATGCAACTTTTGATTCCAATGACAAGCAATGAATGCACATGCAGAAACTGAATGCAATAGAATGCAATAACTCCGATGTACTTGAATGCAAACTGAAGAATGCTGAATGCTCACACGCTGAAGAATGCTTGAATGCAAACACTCCAAATACTCCACCAGACAGATTTTTCTTTTTTTTCCCTCCCAGCTCACAGAGGTACTCCCCTGCCCGTGGGCTAAGGAACACTGCTCAAATTAGTTTGGATCCTTACACTCGCAGACTGCTCCGATCCTAGAGTGGAAACTCACGCAACAATGAACATAGAGACGTCACCAAGTTTGGACTTCACCATAGAGACTTCATAGAAACTTCATACATACTTCCTAGAGACTTTAATGTTCTTCTCCTTCTCTCCACTCACCCATTCATTCCACAGCCTGCTCACTCCAGATTGTTACTGGATCAAAGGATCATTGGTGCCAACATTGGCGGTGCTGCTGCTGCTGCTGCATTGCCTTGCTGCCCTTGCCCAGGACCATTCGCTTGAGCTGCCACATTCACATTGCACTTGAAGGGGCACCACCCCCTTTGATGTCCACCCACATTCCAGGCGTCCTCCATGCAAGCTGAATGCCACACGTGTCCACATTCCAGCGTTTGTACCTCCTCCGATTGTGGCCTCAGCGATTGTTGACAGATTGCACAAAGTGGCTCTTCATCTCCATGATCATGAGCACCACCAGCATTTGCGATGAGGTTAGGCGGAGCAGCAGGCTCATCAGAGCTATTGCCGCCAATCTCACCGGCCTCACAATACACACAAATGTCTCAATTCAAGAGGTTGCATTAAACATAACACGCTTGAAGCTTGCCAATGTCCAGTCCAGGCTTGGGGGTACAAGGCAGTGCAAGGGTTTGAGAACAAGTGGAACCATGATTTGATAATGAATGGACATGCCAAGATCAAACAACACGATCTATCAATAATAGTCAAGCAACCTGAGGAACTGCATTGCCATCATTGCCATCATTCCCATTCACCTCGTTGCCTTCATCCAAGGGCATGGCAGCCTGACCCAATACACCCATCACAGCAGGAAGAGTAGGTGGGCGAGGTGGTGGTGCCTTTGCATCCGGAACGATAGCAGCCACAGGCACTCTGGCATTGGGATTGGGAGGTGGAGGCAGAGGCATTCCAATCCGACCAGCAGCAGGCACCTGTCCCGCTCGCGCAGGTCCGGCTCCCGCCAAAGCAGCCTGGAGGTCTGCAGAGACCGCTTTGGCCCCTCGCCCTCTGGCTTTTGGTTCAACCTCTGTCATCCAGTGGTCACACCATCCTTGGGCCTCAGATATTGCCTGGACAAAAGCATCTGTGAGAAGCGGTTCCTGCCGAATAGCTGCCATGGCCTGTTGCATCTCAGAGGAATTCTGCAGGATCAATTGATGACGCTGGCACAACCTCGTGTAGAGTTCACCGTAGCTGGATACCCTCAGACGGCTGATACACACAGATGGTTTCTGTCTTGTGAGCAGCCAGATCAAGCGGCAAAGTGATAGCAGGCTCAAACTGGATGTTGCCGTGGGATCAAGATGCTCATCCAGTGCTTCGATACACTCTGAAAGGTGCTTCTGCAGGGTTGCATGCAAAGTGCAGGTCCACACTTAGAGATTCAATTCAATGAAGACACTGACAACCATTTTGGTATTCACCAGTCAGTATTCCAAGACCTGGCCTAAACAACATGTTTGAGTAGTTCTGTCCTTGGGGAGCGAGCGAATCATGGCAGCACTGCGAGTGATGATCTTGTCCGCACTCGTTTGGTAGAGAGCACTTCTCCGCTCCTTCAAGTTGTGGATAGCCACAGCTGCAGCATCTTGGACCGGGTCCGCACCTGCTGATGAAGAACTGATTGGTGGACAAGTCATTGGAGATTGGACTGGCGCAGCCTTTGCCTGTGATGCCGCCCCCTCATCCGATGATGAACCATCGTCAACATGTTGGTTGCCACCCATCATCATTGGGTTCATCGAACCCATCATGGCCGCCATCATCGGATTCCATCCACCCATCATAGGTCCTCCTGCCATCATAGGATTCCACCCTTGCATCATTGGCGGAGTCATTCGAGCTCTCTTTGAATCCCTGCCACGTCCCATGGCGGAAGCTATAAACAAAATCTCAGCTCACACCAATGAAAAGCACGGCCAAATGCCTACATGACATAGAGATGCACACGATATATGAGACCGGCGTACAGAAACAAACACAATCTGCAACTTGACATGATAATCATGCCAACGTTCTCATTGCAATTGCAGTGCATATTCTCTGTACTTTGGTTTCACACACTTATAAACTCTGAGATGCCAGCGGTCATGCTTTAGTTGAACTCTCCACGTGCAGGCCTCAAATATAAGAGATCAATGCAGTTCAAACAGAAGTAACCAAATCAGACATCACAAGAGAAATGCTTTCAGGAATAAGGGGTCTGTGAGGATGGGACCGAGCAAACATAGTATCCACATGGAGCCTGGGAAGCGCAAAATCGAGTTGACTTGATCACACATGTTAACACAGTGCTGTGACACTATCCACTTCAAATGTGACTGTCAGACACCGACCAAAACACATTGCGATCCAGCGCTGTCACATTTTCAGACCAGAGAGCTGTCCCCTCACGATCAAAGTACTGTAATTATCACGGTTCACACTCCAGTGCCTTCCTCAACATTGATTCCACTCAACATTATCACAAAATGCTACAATGATGTCAATGCCTTCTGAAGGACATGGAATGTGCAACATGAATGCACTACTGAACTAATTGAGTGCACGCACATCTCAAACAGTATCAAATTGCACGCTGCATTTCCCTCAAAGCCTGCCGGGCTGATTGCATGATCCCCTCCCATTTTCTCTTTGGGATCGTGTCAGTGCCCTCCAAATGATTGGCTTTCACCTGTTCAATCAACTCTCGCAAAGGATCTGGCATAGGGACCCGTGCTTCTGCATAGAGCTGCATCATCCCACGAAGGACTCTCAGGCGCTTCAATGTCCGGCGGTTAGCATCATGTGTTTCTTGATTATCATCAATGACAATCCACTCACCCAGATCAGCCATAGCCATTGGCGACGGTAGTATCGATGGCAAATTGAAGCCTTCCTATGCAGCCTGAACCAACCTGCAGCTTCCACTTATTAAGTGTTGCGGAGCTTCAATGAACAGGAAACAACATTCACTGGTCTCAAGATTGAAAAATAGAAGCTGCTCTTAGAAGCCCAACAGTGTCTCCAGTATTTAGGCCCACGCTTCAATGTCCAATTGCACCGCACCTTGACCTTGCACGCCCAAACGGTTTCACTGGACTTTGAACTGAAAAGGTTTCAACATGACATGGCTAATCAAAGTTCTGAAAGGCTTACGCTGTCATGTGACAATGTATATTCACACAACAGCAACTCTCAGGACCAAACACACAGAGGAACGTCAAAGAAAAGCACCTCCACAGTTGCCCATCAAACTGAACTGTATTTAAATTTGTCAGCGCAAACATCAAGGAACAACAGGAAAGCGTTGGAGCAGGACAAGGCCCAGGCTATAGCATCCAATTGCAGCGCATCCTGCACCACAAGACTTCAATGAGCTTGCTATGTGAGCTTGCCATGAAAAATGCATGGACAGTGAAGCACAAATAAAATGCTAGATTCACCGGGCAATGCCACACCAAAGCAGTGTTCAGGGCCAAACCGATATAGATGAAGAGCACAATGAACCAAGGATGCACCTGGCATGATTCTTGGTCAAGCAGAATCAACAACAGCTGCTCAGCACTGGAATGTGGAACATGCAACGCAGACCTAGCAGAATGAAGGCACATCCTTTGTATATGAGAGCACTTACACGAAGGATCATCAATGATTGATGTCCGGCTGATCACTGACGTGTCAGCAAAGCTGGAATTCTCCACTGAAGATTCAATCAGTGGAGACAATTGGACAAGACTGTCCAGGCATAAAATGCCTCAAGCAAAGCTTGCATGGAGCAGCCAAGGTCACCCACTGGCACTCATTGCCGTGATCCTGAAGCCATAAGGACATTTCAGGGACATAGATATTTGTTTGAACAATTGTTCATGCACTGACACAATTCAAGGGTTTCTCTAGTGACAAACTAGACCTCACAGCTCAGCCAAGTAACTGATCGCCTCTTCTTCCTCCATGGTGCTCCTGCAAACTCCTGGTCCTCATCGGCCTCCACCTCCTCATATTCAGCTGGCTTTGTTGGCATGGATGCCTCTGAAGCGGATGTCGCTGGAGCGGATACCGCTGGAGCGGGTGCCGCTGGAGTGGATGATGGTGCAGCCGGTTGAGAGACCTCCAGGTCGATGTCATTCTTCAAGGCATTTGCCCACGCTGATGCAGATTCATCGAATGATTGTGGTAGTTGATATGTAGGATTTGCCTTCAACCTCGTTGAATCAAGAAACACTTCTCACCCAAACTCACAGTCTTGACAAGAGTTGCTTTGTCATCCATGGCTGGTGATTGGCAAACTCCAGCCAAGAGGCCCAACATGTGATGGGAGAAAATATGCACATCCAAGGATTTTGCTCACCATAATGACCGCCGACG